TCTGGAAAGTTAGGAAAAATTAAATTCTCAATAGCAGTATGAGACAGTGCCTGTTTCTCTGCATTTTTTTAATTTATTTTTTTAATAGTTATTTATTTAATTTATTTATTTTTTTGGCTGCATTGGGTCTTTGTTACGGCACGCGCGGGCTTCTCTCTAGCTGTGGTGTGCGGGTTTTCTCTTCTCTAGTTGTGGTGCACGGGCTCCAGGACACGTGGGCTCTGTAGTTTGCAGCATGCAGGCTCTCTCGTTAAGGTTCACAAGTTCATCAGTTGTGTCACTAAGGCTTAGTTGTCCCACAGCACGTGGGATCTTAGTTCCCTGACCAGGCAATGAACCCGCATCCCCTGCATTGGGAGGTGGATTCTTTACCACTGGACCACCAGGGAAGTCCCTGTTTCTCTGCATTTTTGTTTGTTTATTTTAGCCACTGTGGTAGTGAAAGGTGGTATCTCATTGTGGTTTTAATCAGCATTTCCTTGATGATTGCATTTGGCAGTGTTCTCCAGAGTAACCAAACCAATAGGTTGTATATACATATAGAAAGAGCTTTATTATAAGGACTTGGCTCACACAATTGTAGAGGCTGACAGATCTCAAGATCTGCATTGGCAGTGGGAAATCCAAGAGAGCTAGTGGTGCAGCTCTAGTCTGAAGGCCAGCAGGCTCGAGACCCAGGAAGAGCCAATGTTTCAGTTCAAGTCCAAAGGCAGGAAAAAAGACCAATATCTCAGTTCAAAGGCAGTCAGGCAAGAGGATCTCCCTTTTTGTTCTATTTGGTTCTTCAACTGATTGGATGAGGCCCACCCAGTTTAGGGAGAGCAGTCTGCTTTACTCAGTCTACTGATTTAAATATGAATCTCATCCAAAATCAACCTCACAGACACACTCAGAATAATGTTTGACCAAATATCTGGGGATCTTGTGGCCCAGTCAAGTTGACACATAAAATTAGCCATCACAATAACTGATGAAGTTGAGCAAGTTTTCACAATCTTATTGCCTTTTTGTATTTATACTGTGAATTGCTTATGACCATATGTCTAATACATGGTGCAAGTATTTCCCCCTCAGTATATCGTTTGCCTTTGCTTAAGCTTTGAGTAAGGTTTGGACAGACGTGTGCTTGAGCTCATGTTCCTTGACAAATACCCAGAATGCAGCTGTTTCATGTTACGTTCTGGTTACGTGCAGAAGCACATACTCTGATAGGCAGTGTGCCTTGCAGTGAGTATGACAGCCCCTTGTGAAAACTGAAAAGCATAATGCACACATAGGAGAGATGGAAGGGTACCCATCTAGGGTGGGTCTAGGAGATAGACACCCAGAGGCAGAATCAAGATCTTCCTCAGAAAGTTTCTTTTGGATCTGCCGTTACATATAACTGAGTGGGTAATCAAGGCAATGTTCTGCACTGAGAGCATCACTGCAAGAAAATTAACCTGGTAAAAATTTAAGCAGGTGCTACCCATGTTTCCTTTAGCAATAAAGAAAACACACTGCTATGGAGAAAAGATAACCCTCCTCCACCATTGGTGGGAATGTAAATTGGTGCAGCCACTATGGAGAACGGTATGGAGGTTCCTCAAAAAGCCATATGATCCAGCAATCTCACTCCTGGACATATATCCGGACAACGTTAGAATTTGAAAAGATGCATGTACCCCTATGTTCATAGCAGCACTATTTACAATAGCCAATGACAAGTGAATGGATAAAAAAGACGTGGTATATATGCACAATGGAATATTTCAGTCATAAAAAGAATGAAATAATGCCATTTGCAGCTACATGGTTGGACCTAGAGATTATCATACTAAGTGAAGTAAGTCAGACAGAGAAAGACAAATACCATATGATATCACTTATGTGTGGGATCTAGAAGATAACACAAATGAACTTATCTACAAAACAGAAACAGACTCACAGACATAGAGAACAGGCTTGTGGTTGCCAAGAGTTGGGGGCAGGGGAGGGATGGATAGGGAGTTTGGAACTAGCAGATGCAAACTATTATATATAAAGTGGATAAACAACAAGGTCCTATTGTGTAGCACAGGGAACTATATTCAATACCTGGTGATAAACCGTAATGGAAAAGAATATGAAAAAGAATAGTATATATAACTGTGCTGCACACCAGAAACTAATACAACATTGTAAATCAATTATACTTCAATTAAAAAAAAAAAAACAGCCTGCAATATTAAACACAAATAGAGGGTTCTATATAGAGAATAGTGAAGAAAGGCTCTTAAGCTAAAGTTTTTCCCCTACAATGGGTCAATGTAATCTTTCTTGCTTTAAATGAATAAGTAAAAACAACAAACACTTTTGTGGTGATTTATATGTGTCAGACACTGTTCTAAGTGCTTTGCCTCTATTGACTAGTCTGCCTCTTATAATACCCTTTGGCCCAGGTACTTTTTTGGCCAAGGAAACTAAGACCCAGAGAGGTTAACAAGCTTGCTCAATGGCTTGTAAATCCTTGTTCAGCTACAAGCGGAGGAGCTGTAATTTGATTCCCGGGAAAAAAGGCAAGTCCCTGCTTTAAATGTTAGCCAGCCCTTATTGCCTAGTTACAGAGTTCATTATCTTAGAACCATGAAAAACATTTAGTATTTGTGTAGATACACACTAGGCTTTCTGTATCTTATTGTTATTTATTTGTTGTTATTATTGTTTAAGGTACCACACTTACCTCCAAGTCTGAAGAACTAAACGCGTATGCAAAATTCCAGCCCAACATTCCATAAATTTTTCTTTCATTGATCAGAGCATTGAAGAAACATAAGCTGAATAAAAGTTTTTTCCACCATGGTCCACAGTCTGGTTTTTCAAATATCTCCTGTTACCTCTCCACTCCCACTATATCCAAATGTCTGAAGTAAATTACTTTTCAACCCCTGGGGATTTTCCAGTGCAATCTCTAAAACAGATGTGAATAAAAACAACATGTGAGGACAGATACAGGCACTAGGACTAGGGGGGACTTTTCTTTGCATAGAGAACTACCTAAGAATATAACTGTTTTTAAGATTCAATGGCAAATCGAAAATCTTGTGTTATTCTTTTCCCATTTGAAAACTTCTGTAAAAGGATTGTATCAGATTTCCTATTGCTCCAATTCATACCTTAAAATAAGTACAGCAGGGCTTCCCTGGTGGCGCAGTGGTTGAGAGTCCGCCTGCCGATGCAGGGGACGCGGGTTCGTGCCCCGGTCCGGGAAGATCCCACATGCCGCGGAGCGGCTAGGCCCGTGAGCCATGGCCGCTGAGCCTGCGCGTCCGGAGCCTGTGCTCCGCAACGGGAGAGGCCACAGCAGGTAGAGGCCCGCGTACCGCAAAAAAAAATAAAATAAAATAAGTACAACATTGTCATTAAAAGCATTCCTGCTTGCTCTGGACTCCCAGCATTTTAGAAAGTTTGACAGTGAAGAGTTATTATATTCTAAATGCTCAATGGTAGCTAAATGGCTGTAACAGAATCAGGGTTGCATGGCCTCAGCAAGGCAGCAGATAGAGGGGGCTCCAAATTACAGGAAACAGAGAACTCATGTAACCAACAAAAGTATCTAATCATAACAGATAATTTGGTGTGTTACTAAAGTGTTCTGCTTGAATTGAAAATCACTTTGATTGGTTTTTTAACTAGGAAAGTTGAAGTGACGAGGTACAGGAGGTAAACTGGGGAGAGAATCACTTGGAGGGCTTTTTTTTTAAAGAGTGTGGCTGTAAGTCCAAAACTGAAGGCTCTGAAAATGTTTCTTTACTTGCACAGTTTCCAAAGACATACATACATAGACATATAAATGTATATGTGTCTATGTATACATACATAGACATATAAATGTATGTGTATATGTGTATTGTGTGGGTATATATATAGGATACGTATAAATGCGTGTAGATATGTATATATGATATGTGTGTGCGTGTGTGTGTACGTGAACATGAGATTTCTGAACCAAGGATAAGACTGCTTGATTTATTCACAGAGCACTTACAATAAAAGGTTCCTTAAAGCTCTATCTCTGTCCCCAGCACCTCCACCTCCCAAATGCCCTGCTCCTGGCCAAAGATAAAAGGCTGTTTGACATCATAATGTCTGGCCCTGGGAGTAACTGGAATATCTTGAGTCTCAGACTAAAAGTTGTGGACTTCTCCCATCCATGTCCCATCTTCTACAGGGGCAGGTTTGTTGGGAATTGGCTCAGTACCGTCGGCATGGGTAAATACACCCAGGGGCCGGGGAATAGCTGGGGGTCAGTGTAACAGGGAGAAGTTTCTTTGCTTCCCACGAGTAAATCTGATTTATTCTCAGGCTGGACTGGGACTCTATCAGGAAACTGTCCCATCTACCCCATTTCCTCTATCTTCATCCAGTTCTGTTAAATCTCTGGCACACATTCTGCCTATGCCATTGGTCAGTTTTCTTTGCTATTAGGACTCCACTTTTTGGTCAGCTGGACACTTGTTTAACAGAATCGACCATGTCTTAGTATTTATTTAAATTTAATGGTGGATATGATTAGAAGTCACAGATAATTTTTAATTAGGACTTTTTAGTCAATAGTTTCAACCTGCTTTTTGCCAGACCTTTTTCAGAGAATTAATAACAAATTATGAAACAGTTAGGGGGGTCAGAGACAGGAAAAAGCTAGAGAAGCAAAGGACAAGGAAAGGACACAAATTCTATACTCTGTACTCTGGTTTATAAGAGTTGGAAGCCTAAGCATCCTTGTTTGAGAAAACAAACATCTACACTGTGAATCACTTGAAACCAAGGATCTTGTCTATACTTTTGCATCCTTCCTGGTCCACAGTGCAGGGCTGGGCATAGCAGAAATTTAGCATACTACAATTAGCACTCTCTTCTTAATTCAGAATTATGAATGCAAGATAATTTACATTCAAATAGTGTTTCCGAGTCAATATTAAAATCTGTTATACTTTGTCCTTACCTTTAAACTCTCTTGAAGAATAGGAACTGGGAAAGAACTGTCTGATTTTGAGCTTAACCATAGCCTAAACCCAGGCTCTATTGTCACATTTGGACTATTAAATCTGCAAAATAAAAAATTCATGAATATTTTAATGTGAAAAATTTAAATGAAACCAACATGTTCTAAGAATCATAGTTATTTTAATGTTTGAAGTGGTCTTAGATACCCTTTTAATAATCAAACCATAAGAACTTTCATGTTGCATAAGAATTTGCATAAGACCCATTAATTCCCATTTTGAAAAAGTAGTTTTCCCTCCCTTAGGTACAAAAATGATATAGGCTTACTGCAAAAACCTTGGAAAAAATTACAAATTAAGGACAAAATGACGAGTTCTACTGGTCAAATCTGGCACAATTGAACATCATAATAAACAACGATGGTAAAAGTTTATAATCCATTGAATACAGTAGAAATCCATGAGTCCATGCTGTTATAAATAAACAAATAAATAAATGGGGAGAAAGAAAATTCCCTTATAGTAGAACATAATTTAATAAATTTAGAAGGGATTGTGGAGTTAGAAAGTTACCATTTGGCAAATAATTCAATAATAATTCAGTCAAAAATTATCAATGGAAGTGAAAAGTAGTGGGTGAAAGTTTGAGATGTGTAGATCATCTGAAAGTCCCTACAGTTGGTAGATACCACTTTAATTAAATGATCAAAATTAATATGCTATACTTCTATAAACCAGAGTATAGAGTATAGAATTTGTGTCCTTTCCTTGTTCTTTGCTTCTCTAGCTTTTTCCTATCTCTGGTCCCCCTAACTCTGTCCAGTAGTGGGACAGATTAACGTCCTGTGCCTCTTGCTATGATGTACCAAGAAGGATACAACGTCACTTCTGTGGTATTCCTGCAACACTGCATAACCTAACTCTAACCATGAGAAAATAGCAGACAAATCCAAACTGATGGACACTTCACAAAATAACCGGCTTGTACTTTTCACAAAATGTTAAAGTTGTGGAAGACAAAAACAGACTGAGGAACTATTCTAGAACAAAGGAGATTTAAGAGACATGACAACCAAATGCAATGAGAAATCCTGAATTGGAACCTGGACCTAACTTTTTTCTTCTTTTGCAATAAAAGATATTATTGGGACAACAGGCTAGACATGATTAATTTCTGTTGATTCGATAATCAGTATACACGCTGCAGTACTTAGAGGTCAAGTGGCATTATGTCTGCAACTTACTTTCAAATGATTCAGAAAAAATTACATATACATGTATGTACATATGAAAGAAATGAGAGGGCAAATGTTAACAATCATTAACTCATTTAAAGGAAGAGAGGTTAAGGGTATAGTTTTTATATCATTGCAATTTTTCTGCAAGTCTGAAATTATTTTTTTAATTTAATAAACAAACCACAAACAACAAAAGCAAAAAAACACTAAACAAAAAATTAAACAGAAAAACAAAAATAATCTGAAATCCGACAGAGTAGGTGTAAGTATACTTTTCTCTTTTTCCCCTCTCTGCATCTCTCTTTCTGTCATTTTTAAAATAAAAATATTATACCGTACATACATGTACTTTACAGGCTACATGTCTGTAGCCTGCTATTTTTCCTCTTAGCAGTATTTTGTGAACATATTTCTTTAATTCCTAAATTTAAGAAAAATTTTTTCACATTTTCCTCTCCCAGTGTGGGCTGCTAAGGTGATAGCAATAAATATTTAAAGGCTTGATTTGATAAAGAAGTATGAATTTCCCTTAATCATTCTCTGATAATATAGAATATTTTTAATGTATCATTAATTACTCTTATTAAGCCTTTGAAACTCTGTTCTGAAAAACATTTCTCTAATCTCTTTTTTTAAAATGATACATTGTTTTCTGCCATTCTGTTGTTTCTCTCTGTCTTAACACACTCTTTGAAGGTTGATACAATGACTGTCTGGTTGATGCTGTGTCCTTAGTCTCTAGAATGATTTTTGGCAAATAGTATAGTTTCCCTATAAATATTTATTGAATGAATAATGAATGAAAAAACTGGTAGAAATTGTTGTGTCATATTCCACGGTTTGCATCTATTGAAACCATACAATTAAGTAATCTTCATCTTCTGCCTCAAGTGATGAAATAAATGTGAAAAAGAGAAATGATGAAATAGCTTTTAAACTTCTAAAAGAATAACTGTCTGATAACAGAATGCATGACATTAGTGAAGTTTTTAGAAATTTAAGCCGGGCAGCAGAAGAATACAGTGTAAAGAAGAGGAAGTGGACAGAAATGCAAGGCTGGAGAAAAAACTATAGAATGTTGTTGGTTAAAACCTTACTAACTCAACACATTGCTAATTCTTCACTCCAAGTTATATCATTCAACTTCCAAATACTTCCACTGCAAACAAGAAGGCTGAACCTATGGAAATTTTTGCCCGAGTGAACAAGTGCCTTGGGAGATACAGCCTATAAAAGTGGGTTGAGGTAGAATAAGTCAGAATAAGTACTAAATACAGCCCATAAAGTAAGTCATCACCGAAAGTATGGATGTGAGGTATCCTATTCTGCTGTTTGGAATCATATAGGATGTTAAAAACTATGTAATAGATCTATACGTCTGTATATACATGGGTAAGTATTCGTGTATATCTACGGACAGTGACAGTTTGAGAAGGAGAGAGAGAGAAAGTGATAAACAGGATGGAAAGTAAAAACTGAAGAGGGCTTTTTTTCTCTAATAAAAACTGATATATTCTTAGTGAAGTTTTCAAGTTCTTGGAGAAAAGAGAACCCTCATAAGGTAGCCTAAGTTTCCTCTGAGAGGCCCAACACATTACTTTATCATTGTTTAAGCACGCTGTACATTGCCATTTCCAGTTTTCTTTCTTTTTTTTTTTTTTTTTTTGTGGTACGCGGGCCTCTCACTGTTGTGGCCTCTCCCGTTGCGGAGCACAGGCTCCGGACGCGCAGGCTCAGTGGCCATGGCTCACGGGCCCAGCAGCTCGGCGGCATGTGGGATCTTCCCGGACCGGGGCACGAACCCGTGTCCCCTGCATCGGCAGGCGGACTCTCAAACACTGAACCACCAGGGAAGCCCTATTTTTATTTTTTTAATTAAAAGTTTTTTAAAAAATTTTTTTGTTTTGAATTTAATTTATTTTTTCATACAGCAGGTTCTTATTAGTCATCCATTTTATGCACATCAGTGTATACATGTCAATCCAATTCTCCCAATTCATCCCAGCTCCACCACCCCCACCCCCGCACAGCTTCCGAAGACTCTTCCTGGAGCCCACAGCTTTCATCAGGCACAATTTGAAAAATATTGGTTTGGAATGACTTTATATATTTAAAAATCCATTCTCTACTCTGTATACTAATAAGTGCTACTGGAAAAACAAAAAGAACGTTCAAAATGCAATCTTACTTTTTCCTCTAGGAGAAGCTTATCAGGGCTGAAATACTGGGACTTCAATATTATCTGTCTTTAAAAATATAACATTTGGGCTTCCCTGGTGGCGCAGTGGTTGAGAGTCCGCCTGCCGGTGCAGGGGACACGGGTTCGTGCCCCGGTCCGGGAAGATCCCACATGCCGCGGAGCGGCTGGGCCCGTGAGCCATGGCCGCTGAGCCTGCGTGTCCGGAGCCTGTGCTCCGCAACGGGAGAGTCCGCAACAGTGAGAGGCCCGCGTACCACAAAAAAAAAAAAAAATATATATATATATATATATATATATATATAACATTTGACTCAATTCAGCTGTGAGAGACATTACCTAAATTTGGAATTGTATTCAATCTCAGAATCATCAATCCTTACAAAATATTGTCCTCTTTTCTGATAGATATCCTTCTTCAAAATTGCCTTTAAATTTGGAGCTAATGTTTCAGGGAGATTCTGAAAAGCCCAATAGACATAAATAAAAAATTCATTTTACAACAAATAAATCAGTTGAAAAGGCACAACATTTAAAACATGTAAATCTTGTTAATATCTAGATATTGGTATCTATTATATTTGTCATTTTTTCCCTTGACAAAGCTACCTGTCACTTAAAGCTCTTAGACTTTATGCTCAGTGCCTACAATCTGTGTGTCAGCTGCCTGGAATTAGGCCATTTTGTGTAAATACCTGTAAGAGGACACGCCCTCTTGTTTTCATAGCATTTTCAATGTTTTGGATGTAATTGCTATCCTCAACGGAGAGTTCCTGGAGCCTAGATCCTTCCATCTGACGGATCCAGTTGTGTGCTTGCTTATGCGGGTCAATCAGCAGTGGCCACTGCAGGCTGTTCTTGACCAAGACGGCATTCTCTGTTGAATACTGACCAAGAGGGAGCCCCTGATGATGCCATCGGTGGATCTGGAATGAAATCATTAGTGCTTTCGCTGTTTCATAAACTTCTTCACATTTTTAATATCCTATAGGATACCGAAGGATCCTATAGATTATCAAATAATCTTTAAAAGGACTAAGGAAATGAACAACTTAAAACAACTGGGATATGAAATTTTTGGTAGGGCGAGTAATTATTCAGAATATTACACTTCTCTGTTTAACACTAAGGATGAATGCTCATCACAGCACACATGCTATGGAAAACAGAGAAGAAATGTAAGATAGAGTACTTGTTCCCAAGGATCTTAGGATATATATGAAACGTTAATAGTACAGAATTATACAGATATATTAATAGCCACTCTAATGCACACCTACCACCCGCCAAGCACATAAATGCATTATCTACTTAAATTTCTACAACAACCCTTATTTCTCAGAAGGCAGAACTGAGGTTACTCTCAGAATAAAAGGCAGACCTAGGGTTTGACTCAGAAGCTAACTCCAAGACTAATAAACTTTTCATCCTTACATGGCCTCTCTTTGCCTGCCACTCTGATTTCATGCCAGCAGCTTGGGAGAAAAAAGCCACGAAGGGCCACTGAGATCAGAGAAGGAGGAGGACACCAGGGAACCTTACAATGAAAGGAAGCAGGGGCCTCCCCAGGAGAAGCCAAAGATATTGTTTACTTTCAAAATACAAGAAAAAAGTTTTTTGTTTAAGCTTGTGAAGAATAGGATGTTCTTGAATTCTACATAAAAGAACATATGAAAGGTGGTGAAGACTCCTGAAAAACACAAGTACTTCTGTTGGTTGGAATATATTGGGTTGGCCAAAAAGTTCTTTCAGGTTTTTCCATAACGTCTTATGGACATAGATTACAATAGATTATACTTGAGTGCAAAGAAGAGAGTAAAAGTCAGTGTTGTGATAGAAAAAAACTTTGAACTCAATAGCAAATCAAGTTTCTATTTAAAGAAATGAATCATTCTGACTTTCATACTTTTATTATTTTACTAAAGTATGTATTCCTAAACACTTGTATTACTAATTTTTGAACTTTAGGGAAATGAAATCTTATAGTATATACTGTTTTCTGTCTGGCATCATCCATGCTGTTTTATAGCTGTATTTATTTATTTTCCCTGCTGTAGAGTATTCCATTTTATGAATATAACTAGATTTTTATCCATTCTACTTTTGAGGGCACTTGGATTGTTTAAAGTTTTTGGCTAGTATGAATATTGCTACAATGAACATTCTTTTATATTCTATGGGTCAACTTATGTATGCATTTCTTTTGGGTACAAACCTAGCAGTGGCATGTTGGGTCACAGGGTATGTACAATTTTAATACTTGTAGCTAAAATCAGTTTTCTTTCTTTTGTTATTGATTTACAACATTATGTTAGTTTCAGGTGTACAGTATACTGATTCAATATTTGTTTTGCAGATTATATTCCATTGTAGGTTATTATAAGATATTGAATATAATTCCCTGTGCTATACAGTAAACCCTTGCTGCTTATCTATTTTTAGGTATAGTAGTGTGTATCTGTTAATACCATAGAGTAAGTGCCCTCTATATGAACGAGTTCCATTCTGAGCATGTGTTCATAAGTACAATTTGTTCGTAAGTCCAACAAAGTTAGCCTAGGTACCCAACTAACACAATCGGCTATACAGTGCTGTACTGTAATAGGTTTATAATATTTTCATGCAAATAATACATAAAAAACAAACAAAAAATAAAGAAAGCATTTTTAATCTTACAGTGCAGTACCTTGAAAAGTACAGTAGTACTACAGCAGCTGGCATACAGGGGCTGGCATCGAGTGAACAGGCAGGAAGAGTTACTGACTGGAGGAGGGAGGGGAGATGGGAGATGGTAGAGCTGAAGGATCGTCAGCAACAGGAGACGGAGGGCGAGCTGCAATTTCACTCACGCCTGGTGTTGATGGCACAGGTTCTGGTTCCTTGCTGGATTCAATCCTATCTACCCCCCTGAAAAAACAATCCAGTGATGTCTGGGTAGTAGCTCTTTTTTTTCTCTTCATAGATGACATGGTAGCACTGGATTGTATTCTGAACGGCTGCTGCAACCTTCGTGTACTGTTCTAAGTTCAGGTCCTGTGCCTCAAAAACTAACAGTGCCTCCTCAAATAAAGAAGATCCCCTTGCCATTTCCTGCATCGTGAGTCTCTTGGGTTATTCAGTTACTTCTTCCTCTTGTCTCTCTTCGTCCTTTCTCTGGGCCTCCAATTCCATCAGGTCTTCATTAGTAAGCTCCTCGTGTTGCACAGCAAGGAGTTCAGTGAAGTTGTCCTCTTGCAGATCTAGCTCCAGCTTCTCGCTGAGGGTCACTAAGTTGCTGAAAGACCTCTTTGGACTCCTTATTCACCTTCTCAAATCCATGAAAATTGTGAACAAACCGCAGGCAAAGGTTCTTCCAAACCCCATTCATGGTGATGGCTGTAACCTCATGCCAAGCGAAGTCAATGTTTTTTATGGCCTTGTAGATGTTATAGTCACAGAAGTTCATTTGAACAATAAAATTTTTTTTTCTGGGACAATGATGTGTTAATTCCAAATTGTTATAGATATTTAAGAGGAAAATGCATATCTTCTGTACTTCATGGTAGTTATTCAACACTATAACACACTGGCACATAGAGCAACAAGCAACAGAAACTAGAGCAATCTTGCTTGGGTTGAAATCAGGTAAGATAAAAATCTTTTTCAGCTTTATGAAAACCTAGAGAGAATACAGTTCACTTATTACACAAGAAAGAAATATTATTTATCTGAAGTTTTCCCCAAACTACACTAGAATGAAATTTTATTTCATATAAAAATACTCGACTACTCTTCAGAAGTAGAATCAAAGACATACCAGGATACAAAATGGCTCTAGTACCACTAATTTTTTTAAGATGAGGGGAAAAGCCTCTACTATAAACATCTTGTTATTACCGTTATTGTTACAGTAGCTATATTATAGTTTTTTAAAAAGAACTCCATTTTAAAACAAAAATAAAAGGAGTTAACTTTCTCCAGCTTTGTGGAATTTGGTGTATAAGGAGGTCTGAAGTCTCCTTCTTGTGCTCCTTGTGTGAGGTGACTTGGAAAACCACCCTCGACTTCTGCCTCATAAGAGGCATGTTGGCAGGGCACAGTCCCTACACAAAGGTCTATCTGGTCAATTATGACAGTGTGGCTTGGGGCACACTGGGGCTCACTGAGGACATTCTCTAGCTTAGTTGTGTTACATGCCTATGGATCCATCTCATCTAAATGGTACAAACTAGTTTAGAGTTAGCTATATAGTATTTCTCATATACTTTGGGGAGCCATAATCAGAATGAAATCTTTCTCAGGCTGATATTCTTTTTCCCCTCCTTTCCAACCAGACACTTCCTCTCTTGCCTGGAAAGACAGAACCATTTTGCTGAATAATTTAGAAGGAAGGTGGTCCATTCTCAACTTATTACTTGTGTTCTTATTATTGTTTAAAATACTGTTAGGCTTTTAATCGTTTCTTTGGATGAGCTATTATTTTTTTGAGCTTGAAAGATCTATTTAAGTGTAACCACAGGGAATCGCTTTTGCTAAGAATGCTTCAGAGAGTGGGGAGCTGCTGCATTAATGCATGAATCGTATGGACAGCAACGCTAACGTTCTGCTAAAAAAATCCACATTGTTCAGATACTACTCTACACTTCCTAAGAGCACAGATCATTATTGTAACTAACTAACTAATTGTGTTGTAGCTATTTAATGTCTGTTTTCCCCGTTACAATGTAAGCTTCATAACATCAAGGAATGAGTTGGTCTTCTAAACTATCGTAATGTCTCTTACACGGAAGATACTCCATCAATATTTATTGAATTAATGAGTATTCACCCTTTCAGCTGTGACAGTGCCATTCATACGTCTACAAATCTTTCAGTCTGCCCCTGAACTTAGCTCTCAGCTCAACGTCTATGTAATATCTCTGCTCAGATATTCTTCCAGCCACTATGCATTATTTAGTTCCAAAGCCACTTTATTTGTTACAGCAGCAATCACTAACTGGTACCAAAATCTGTATTAGTTTCCTGTGGCCATTGTAATGAATTGCTACAAACTGGGTAACTTAAAACAACAGTAACTTATTCTCTCACGGTTATGGAGATTGGAAATCTGAAATCAAGATGTAGGTAGAATAGTACCCAGGTGGGGCCTCAACATGGCCTGCCCCACTCTGCTGGTGCTCTGAACTCCACTGCTTGCTCAGGACTTTGGTCCTGCCCTCATCCTCCTTGTAGTCCTACCGTAAATCTACGTTCTTCAGAATTAAATCTTCTCCAGCAAAACCCTATAGTAGGTATCGAGACTACCTTATTTAAAAAAAAAATTTCTGTGCTCTAACCTGTCCCCCATCTCCTCCCACATGAATCAATATTTGTAAAGTGCTCAGAACAGTGTTTGGTACATGTTGTTATATGAACATTTGTTACATGAATAAAAATAAATCTCAGAGATCCGGTTCAAGGTGGTGACGTAGGAGGATTCTGAACTCCCTCCCTCCCGCGGTCACACTGAATCTACAGCTTCACGTATGGAACAGTCATCTCTGGAAGAAAACCAAAAGCTACCCGAGTGACTCCTACACTTGGATCTGAATAGACATTTTTCCAAAGAAGACATACAGATAGCCAACAGGTACAAGCAAAGGTGTTTAACATCACTAATAATCAGGGAAATACAAACAAAACCACAATGAGATACCACCTGTTAAAATGGCTATTAACAAAAGACAACAAATAACCAGTGTTGGTGAGAAAGTGGAACACTTGTGCACTGTTAGTGCAAATGTAAATTGGTGCAGTCACTATGGAAAACAATATGAGGTCTCCTCAGTCAATTAAAAATAGAAGTATCAAAAGATCTAGCAAGTCTGATTCTGGGTATTTATCTGAAGGAAACAACACCACTAACTCAAAAAGATATATGCATCCCCATGTTAACTGCAGCATTATT